CTCTGGCTTACCTGAATGCTGCTTTCTTAGCTGAAGTGAAGGATACAATGGTAGTGAACTGTAAATTGGCTTTCGGGGCTTACGGGACCAAACATGCCATTAGGTGTAAGGAAATGGAAGATTTCCTGTCTGGTAAAGTAATCACTGATAAAGTTCTGTATGAGGCTATTACCTTACTTGGCAGTGTCGTGGTGCCTGAAGACGGTACAAGCAATCCTGCTTACAGGTCAAGCTTGGCGCCAGGCTTCCTTTTCGAGTTCCTTCACACCTTAATAACTCATCATACTACAGATAAACCTTCAAATGGTTATAACCTGGATCCACCAAAACCATTGCCAATGTTGTCTTCTTCACAACATATTCCTATAAACAATGAATATAATCCGGTTGGTCAACCTGTTACTAAAGCTGGAGCTTCCCTTCAGGCTTCTGGTGAGGCTATTTATGTGGATGATATTCCATCTCCCACGAACTGCCTTTATGGAGCATTCATCTATAGCAAAAAGCCATATGCACGGATAATAGGTATTCATTTCAAGGAAAATTCGGTACCTCAAGGAGTTGTTGCAGTCATTTCTTGCAAGGATATTCCTAAAAATGGAAAAAATGTGGGTATGAAGACTGGATTAGGCTCCGATCACTTATTTGCAGAGGATTTCACCATTTCTGTAGGCGAATGCCTCGCCCTTGTGGTAAGTCCAATCCTATTTTTCCATTAGTTCAGTTGCATCACCAGCAGTTTTGACACCAATTTGTAAATTCAGGTTGCAGATACGCAGAGACATGCAGATGCTGCAGCAAATCTTGCAGTCGTTGAATATGAAACAGAGGATTTGGAACCACCAATCTTATCTGTAGAAGACGCGGTCAAGAAATCTAGTATGTTCGAAATTAACCCTTTCTTATACCCACAACAAGTTGGTGACACATCAAAAGGAATGGCTGCAGCTGATCATCGAATTATCAGCTCGGAAGTATGTAATGTAGTCTGTCCTTCAAATTTTTTAAGGTAAATCTTTGATATATATGTTAATCTTTATTACTTTTGATGTGAAACAGATACGTCTTGGGTCACAATACGTCTTTTACATGGAGACGCAAACAGCTCTTGCAGTGCCAGATGAAGACAACTCAATTGTAGTATATAGTTCAAGTCAGACCCCTCAGTACGTACACACCTCTGTTGCTACTTGCCTAGGCATCCCTGAAAACAACGTACGTGTCATAACCAGACGTGTCGGTGGAGGATTTGGAGGAAAAGCTGTCAAGTCAATGCCAGTAAGTTTTCACGAACTTTTCTCTCTTTTTTCCTCGCTTTCTGCAGGAAATGGACCAAAATCTCAAAGCCTTACACTGTCTCAGGTTGCAACAGCGTGCGCGGTTGCTGCTAATAAACTGCAGCGTCCTGTGAGGACTTATGTGAACCGCAAGACTGATATGATAATGACTGGTGGAAGGCATCCAATGAAGATAACGTACAATGTGGGATTCAAATCCACAGGGAAGATAACAGCTTTGGAGCTAGAGATACTAATTGATGCAGGGGCAACTCTTGGTTTTAGTACGTTTATTCCAACAAATATCATAGGAGCGCTAAAGAAGTACAACTGGGGAGCTTTATCTTTTGATATCAAACTTTGTAAAAC